AATTCTACTTCCCAGTCACCCTAACTTTTACTTCATGGGGTTGCTATATATAGGTTCAATGACAACATATGTTGAAGTGTTTCATAAATTGTCAAGTGGTGGTCAGAAAGCTTGGCTTTAGAAAGGACGAATGGCAGTGGGGGGAGTCCATGGCTTTAAGTCCAACTCTGCCACGTTTACATGCGATAAGGAGACAATCGGACTTCAGCTGAAAATCTCATTTTAGGCCCTCATTAGCTATACTAATATCTGAATTTGAGTTTCCTCATCAGTAATAAGGTAATAATTCATACCTTGCAGGGTTTTTGTAAATATTAGAAATGTACAGAAAGTGCTTAAGGCAGTAACTGGCAAATGGCCGATGCTATTACTACAAGTATATATTCCCTGGCCTATTATAATAAGTATGGGAAAGCAGCTATGCAGCAAATACTTATTGGCTAAGGAAGCTGACATACAAGCATTTCCAAAAAAGAGGGGTAGTCTAGTACAAATGCAGTCAGGGAATCTGTTAATAAAAGGACAGTAACAGCCAAGAAAGCAAACAGGTTAGCCCATAGCAGAGAAGAAAGATGAAAGAACATAGAGGGCCAAAGGAGGGGAGCTCAGGAAGTAAGGCAGCCGTAAAATCAAATGCCAAAATAAGTATCAACAAACAAGTGGCAATAAGGAATCATTGCAAATCAAAGCATGAGAATGGGACTTCAGGGGTACTTGACTAACTAAAGGAAATGGTAATAGAAATAACTACTGAAAGACCACTGATTTGACCAGAAGGTGGTCAGTCGCTGGTTACTTCCCACAGGTCTGTTTCATTTGCTAATGACAAATACTAAAAGACTTCTACTGGTAAGGCTCTGGTTGGGCAGCCTGGGGCATGCTGATAACCTGAAACTACTCTTTGCCCTACAGTCTAACCTTCTGCTGCAGGCCTCTCTGCTGATTCCTAACGGGGCTTTTGTACAACTTGTTGCTTCTACCTCACTGTGGAATCTGGCAACCAATTTGCCTCAGCCTCAGGGCTATGCCTTCTATTAGCCAAGTGCTATTACACTGTAATTGGAAAAACACTTTAAAAAAGAAACAGGGGATTTAAAACCTATTCAAAAAGTAAATAAAAGGAGGTAGACAAGGCAATAGCTGGACAGGGCAGAAGAGAATTTTGTTGCTCTCATTTTATTTGAGGGTTGGGAATATGTATTCATAGCGAATGGATTTGTTGGAAGTCTGTGGAGTAGGACTGAGCTCCCTCAAGTTTATCACCCAGGAATCTTGTCAAAAGGTAGTTTCTGATTCAGGAGGTCTAGGGTGGAGGCCCAGACAGTAGTGTGATGATTCAGAGAGCTTGCTTATCTCCTTGGTAACTATACTCCCACTGTGGCAATTTCAAGCTACCAACATGAGGTCACCAAGCCCAAGCAGCGTTGGGAAGAGATGTATACAATCAGGTGGAGACGCAGTAAAGGCTGGCTCCAGCACATCCACATTGCTGCGTTTCTAACAGACACAGGTGATACAAATGCTGCTGGTCCATGGACCATATTTTGAGTCTAAAGGGAGAAGATAATAACAAAGAGATTAGGGTAGGATAAAGGAGATGTGAGATGATTTGGGAGAGACAGCATCTAGATCAGTGTTTTTGATATTTTGGGCCAGACAACTCTGGGTTAGGGGGTTATTCCTTACATTGTTAGATGCTCAGCAGCATTCCCGGGCTGTAACCCACTAGATGCCAGCATCCTCCTCATCCATAGTCACAATCAAAAAGGTCTCTGGACAGCTGAAACCGGTTTGGCTCAGTGGATAGAGCGTTGGTCTGTGGACTGAAGGGTTCCAGGTTCGATTCCGGTCAAGGGCATGTACATTGGTTGTGGGCACATCCCCAGTGGGGTGTGTGCAGGAGGCGGCTGGTCGATGTTTCTCTCTCATCGACGTTTCTAGCTCTCTATCCCTCTTCCTTTCTCTCTGTGGAAAATCAATAAAATATATTTAAAAAAAAAAAAAGATCTCTAGACACCAGTGATCTAGATTCATCTCTAACAAATGAAGGAAGAAGAAATGGGTACCTCTTCTGCTGAGAAAAGAGACATTGAAGGGGGGGAAGGGAGACACCAAACCATGAGACAATGAGCTCTCTTTAGATGTGAGCAAGCTCAATCAAATAGGAATAAAAGGTTATCCGTTTAGAAATAGTGCAAGGAGGATTGACAGTTTAAAATACCAGAAAAGTTCTAGGGAGTAATAGAAAGGTTCTGACCCAAGACAATGAGTCCCAACAACAAAGAAGTAGAATCAGGGATAACTTTGGCTCTTGGGAATCCGAATTGCGTGGGTTCAATTCTGGCTGTACCGCGTACCAGCTGGACAACCTTGAGCAAATTATTTAACAAGTATAAGCCTTCTCATAAGAAAACTTCCTAGAGTAGTCGTAAGTACTGAAATAAAACATGGTAAGTTCTGAGCACAAGGTCTGGTACACAGTACATGCTCAATGTTAATACTATTATCAACATCATTTATTTTCCTTGAAAAATATCGGCTTCACTTGGCTATTGCTTTAAATTTCTCTGATGAAACAAAACACACAGAAAGATCTGAGGCACTATTTGTTGATGTGCTTTATAAATACTACACTCATTGTGTAAGCAGAAACTTTGTAGCTGAGGAGGCATGCGAGTTGAAGACGCCAACCAAGCATTCATTTACTGATGCTCCAAAAATCACAATGCATGGGGCAAGGTAAAAGGGAATGAAAAGCCAATAAACCCAGGGAGAACAAGTTAAATTTTCACTGCAGTTGGCAGGTTTGCATAGAACTCCAGTTAGGACAAAGGAGATGTGATGAACCCTAGCACAGCCGCCAACGATGATAGGTTTATAAGAACAACCTGACTTCAAGTTGTTCATCCTACAACTGTTGCTGCTGGGTTTTTACCTAAGTCAAGAACTTATTACAATACAGAATCTATAAGTAATCCCTTTAGATCTCAAATAACATTCTGCAGTGTGGAGGAGTTAGAATTATCACAGTGTTCTCTTTTAGGTTTGAGCAGGTACTGAAAAAAAACCTATTTCCAGAGTTCTCCATTTTCCCCTTACTAAAATTCTTGGGAGGTTAAGGCGGGTTCTGACTGTCCCATGACCGGCCAACAAGGCATGGGAAGCACTCGGGTTTAAGTGGCTTCTCAGTGTCTGCGGAGGAACAATTAGAGATTCTCCAAGGGAAATGCAGAATGCTACGGAAAATTCAAAATGACGTCCATTCTAACATGAAACTTATCAAGATGAGGGTATAAGATCCCCATATAAGATTCCGTCGAAATTCCATCAAGATTCCATCAACCCAGCCGGCTGACGCCAAGCATTTTACATCATCAACAAAAGAACGCAAAAGGGCAAACACTATCAAGCATACCAAGCTTATCTGCCTGCATGGGGCGAAGCCCGGGGAAGAACAGTTAATGTCATCACCGCGCAAGGCGCCAGGAGCCAGGGCAATCCGGCCAGCCATAGCCACCGGATGCCCACGCTCTCCAAAAATAGCGATGACTTACGAACAAGTGCTCATCAAACCCCTCACAGGCAACAGGCTCAAACAGACAGTGATGGGTGGTGGTCACTCCTCAAACTATGGCAAAGGGGAGTGAAGATGCCGATGGTTAGCAGGCAAGTGGCCTCAACTAACAGGAGTCCTGAGAAATGTAAATAACTTGCTCTCCCTTAAAATAGTCTCTTCTCTAAATCAACTGTCTCAAAACTAAGATTCCCCCCATACACACACACACACACACACACACACACACGCACACACCTGTTTTCAGTCACTGCCCTAAAAACGGATAGATTTGATCTCTGAAAGCAGAGAAATCCTGACTCGGGTGGGGTGCAGGCAGGCCCTGGGGAACACCTGACAATGCTATTTCCATTAGAAAGCAGCAAACTTCTTCCATTTCGAAGCCCAGGGCGCGGAGGTCTCTTTTACTCCAGAAGCTCAAAGAGGAAGTGGGTCCACCTTCTACGCTACCGGCCCCTGAGCGCATGAAAAGAGGAAAAAGGTATCAAAGGCTTCCGGCGTGGAGGCATCTGACGGCTCTGTGCTGTGAATATTTTATGAAATTCCTCGCCTCCCAACTCGCCTCTGAATACTCGGCACAAGTTTCCCATATTGCCTTGTTTAGGGGGGTGGGGGCGATGAGGAAGAGTGAGGTTTTAGCATTTCGAAGTCACATTAGAAGACATTCTCAAATTGCTCACTTTCAGGTGTCTGTCTGCCTCTGGGTTTTCCCCCAAACCAGCGTTCTCTGCCTCTCACCACCTGCGCCAGGAACCCCCGAGCTGCTTGGGATCTGCTCCTCCGACTCCAGAACAGGAACACGCCACCCGCACGCCTCGGGCTGGGGGCTCGATCTCCCTCCTCCGGACCCGGCGGGGCCGCCACCCCCGCGGCGGGCGGGCGGGCGGGAGGGAGGGAGGCGGCTCCGGGAAGCGAGGCTGGCGGCGAGGGCGCGGGAGGGTCCCAGGACCCGGCCTCGCCCCGGGGCTGCCAAACGCCGGCTTCCAGTGAACTCTCCCGGGGTGAGCCTCTCTGAGGCAGCCCCGCCCTAGCGCAGATTTCAAAATAGAAACAAAGTGCAAAGACCACCGCCGCCGCCGTCCCGGGAAGCTCCGCAGCCCCGGCTGCGGCCCGGGGCGCTCCCCCCGGACACCGCGGTGCAGACAACACAGCCCCGCGCCCGCCTTCAGGCTTCGTGTCCCAAAACACCTAACGCCCCCCGTTCCGCGCCGGAACCCCGAGCCCAGGACAGACTCCAGCCTCCTCCCGAGCCCCTTCCTTCCCGGCGCTCGCCCGCACCTACGCCCACGGCCTGGGTCCGCGGGGGCCCCTCGCAGCCCCTGCCCCGCGCCCAGCCCGCAGGCCGCCCCTCCCGCCCGGGCCCCCCACCCCTTCTCTCCGACCCCGAGCCCGCCTCGCCGGCGCCCCTCGCCGCCCCGGAGCCCACCGAGCCGCGGCCATCGGCTCCTCCGGCCGCGTCGTCCTGCTCCAGCTCCGCAGTCATGGCCGGGTCACCGGCCTCCCGCCACCGCCGCCGGCGCTGCCTAGCAGGAGGAGGAGGAGGTGGACACTGTGCCGCCGCCACCGCCGCCGCCGCCTTCGCTCCAGCGCGCGCCGGAGGCCCCGCCCACACGCCCCGCCCATACGCCCCGCCCATCATCCGCTCCGGCCCCGCCCCCTCCTGAGCGCGCGCCGGGCGCTCTGCGTGCCCGCGCACAGCCGGCTCGACCCCGGCGTCGGCCACGTGACCCCGAGCCCCGCCCACAGCTAGCGGTCGGAGTGGGCACTCCGGGAGGTTGCGGGCTTGGCAGAGGTGCCCGGGACGTGGTTTTCGGGCGACGGCGTCTGCGTCCCAAGCCCCTTCCCTGTCCTCTGCTTCCAAAACGTGCTCATTTCTAGGACCCACGCCCCACTCAGTCTCTTCCCCTCCGAGGAGGGAAAACTGCTCCCCAATTTGGGACCCTGTCTAGGGGCAGCGTAAATAAAGACTTTCCCATCTGGCCACGTACCCATTCCTAAGTCCAGCAGCACAAAAATAATTATTAATCATCTTTTAGAAAAGGAGAGACAAGTTGAATGAGCGGCCTTCCTAAACTTAACCAAATCTCTGTTCACTGGTGCCCAGTGTGGTGCCTAACACTGGCATGGGCATGGCCATGGCCATGGGCATGAGCAGTATGGACAGTAGCCACTCGGTGTTTTGTCACCAAAAAGGATGGGGTCGGGGGAGAAGGGGTTGCAACTCAGCGCCTACAGACCCGGCCAGCCACGAGCACTCGCGGCGCTGCTGCCAGGATGGAGAGGAACTGAACAGAGGGGAAGAAGTGAAGGAGAGAGGCGTTTGCAACCATAGAGGCTGATGTAATCCTAGTTCTTTCTGCAGGGTTCTCTGGATGGCCAAGCTGGAGCGCTGGTTCCAACCACAGTCCCTCCCACCTATCTTGTCACTCTAAAGTCTTTTTTTTTTTTTTTTTTTTTTTTTTTTTTTTTTAAATATATTTTATTGATTTTATACAGAGAGGAAGGGAGAGAGATAGAGAGTTAGAAACATCGATGAGAGAGAGTCATCGATCAGCTGCCTCTTGCACACCTCCTACTGGGGATATGCCCGCAACCAAGGTACATGCCCTTGACCGGAATCGAACCCGGGACCCTTCAGTCCCCAAGCCGACGCTCTATCCATTGAGCCAAACCGGTCCCAGCGTCACTCTAAAGTCTTAATCCAAATATGCATCAGGAGCAAGTGCACAAAAACCCTACTGGGACCCAAGTCCATAAGTCTAGAGCCTATGTATTTTTCGATGTATCACTCCAGGTCTTATATTCAAGTCTTTAATACTTTATAAGTTAATTTTTGTGTATGGTGTGAGTGGCTTCCAATTTTCTCAACACCCTTGTATGGTTGGAAGTTAGGGAGTGTGATACCTCCAGCTTTGTACTTTTTTTTTTCTCAGGGTTGCTTTGGCTTATTGGGGTCTTTTGCAGTTCCATATTTTAGGAGTATTTGCACTAGTTCTGTGAAAAATGCCACTGGGATTTTGATGGGGATTGCATTAAATCTTTATGTTGCTTTAGGCAATGTGACCATTTTAACAATGGTAATTATTTCAGTCCATGAACATGGACTATTTTGAGAGTACTATGTTCAGTGAAATAAACCAGACAAAAAGAACAAGAACTGAATGGTTACACTTATATGTGGGAAATAAAATTAAAAAAAAATTTTTTAAACCTAGATACAACAAAGGAATGGTGGTTTCCAGAGGGGAATAGGGGTAGGGAAAGGTTAAAGAGGGTCAAGGGGGCCCGATACAGGGTGTCAGAAGGAGACTTGCCTTCAGGTGGTGGGCGCATGATAGAGTGTACAAATGTTGTAGTATGAGGTTCTACCCCTGAAATTTACATAATGTTATTAACCAATGTTACCCCAATAGATTTAAAAACATAATAAAATAGAAAAAAATGCTTAAGTTGTCAGATTTTAGATTTTTCTGGAGTTCAAACTAAAATTTTGTAGTGTTTTGCTAGTTTGAGCCAGATGCTTATGTAGATAGCATGTTAAAGCTAAGGTGCCCTCCACTGAGTTTTATTTTGAACAATTTGTTGGGAATTGTAACTACTGACCATGTTTCACATTCACACGTATAGGCCAGTGGTCGGCAAACTCATTAGTTAACAGAGCCAAATATCAGCAGTACAACGATTGAGATTTCTTTTGAGAGCCAAATTTGTTAAACTTAAACTTCTTCTAACGCTACTTCTTCAAAATAGACTCACCCAGAGTGTGGAAGAGCCACACTCTAGGGGCCAAAGAGCTGCATGTGGCTCGAGAGCCGCAGTTTGCCAACCACAACACTAGGCACACTTTTGGCTCTCCAAAATCTATGCTTAGGCTGGGAGTAAAAGCACCTCTTTTTTTTTTAGGAGTCACTGCTTTTACCATTGCCCTGGTCCTAGCCCCAGGCAGCACCCGTGGTGTGAATTTTTTACGGATAGTGGCCTTCCCTGTGCTCCCAGCATTGGCATTGTTGTTTGAGTGACGGTGATGTTTCACTGGCAGGTTTTTCTAGTCTGCATGTGACCACACCTGGTCTGAGGACACAGCTGAAGCTCCCATGGGAGAGCTGATTACTCGCAGGAGCTTGAACTAGGACTAGCGATGGATACTTCTTTCGCCTGGAGCTACGGGGGCCACCTTTCCCGGACAGGTAACTTTTGAAGAGATCAGAATCTTCCACATTCAACAGGCTGTGTTTTTGTCTAATGGTTGTAAGACTCCTTTTTTGTGGTTTTACCCCCTTTCATTTTTTTAATGAGTAATCGAAACCTAGTGTTCATGGCCTCAACCTTGGGGGTCAGAGCAAAACAAGTTGATTTCTTAGTTTAGCTTATTTGCAGCCTTGCATACTTGTACATTGCTAGAAAGCTCTATTTTTGTGTGTCTTTAGCATGTCTCTGGAGCCACTTGTTTCATCTTTGCACATTTGTTATAGGAATTGCTTATTTATTGTGTGCAAGTAGGTGGAGACCTATTACGCTTACTTATGAAAATTTCCTTGAAAGACCAGCAAAGACTATTTATACTCATGTCTCTGAAAGGGATATGTACAGACCATGTGGTAAATACTGGCCCCTGAGTTTTGATTAAGCAGCTTTCTGCTATGTGGTTTCAAACAAGACTCCATATTAATAAATTTGTCCTAATCAATTTGTGGGCTGTAGCCCCATGGGGTTTAACCACCAGCTGGTCCTGGACATGGTAATCAGATAGAGACACCCAGTCCCACCAGCGTATTTAATGAATGCTCTACGTCAGTGCTCCGCCATCAGCTGGCAAACTACATGGTGATCAAATAACAAAAGTGGGTATCATGGAACATACGCTGTCACCTCAGAAAATCCCTTCTCATTCCTCTTTAAAACCCATACATGAAGGCTTCACAATAATTACATTTTTAGTTGATAATCATTTCAAGGGTATTCAGGAAATATAATATTAATATGGAGCAATAAATAGTTGACCTATTGAAAAGGGGGAGTAGTTTTCAGAGTATTTTCCTAAGGAAGAAATTGAATTATGTTTTCCTTTCTTAGAAAACTTTTTGTCCCAAGGCACGTAATTTTCTGAGACAGTGTATTTATAGCTCTGCTTCTGATTTATCTCAAACTCCAAATATAGTTTGTATTATAATAAATTGATCCTATTTCAATGTTGTTGAATGCTTCTGTCAAACTTTGTGGGGTAAATGAGAAGGGAAAGAAGGAGTTAGGAAAAGAAAAAAGGAAAAGGGGAGGAAAAATGTATACTTGCATTTCATTTGGGCTTCACTCTATAAATAGTTTTTGCCATTGGCTTCAGACCAACTGGAGTTGAAAACTGATGGCCGAGGCTGATTGACAGGAGGGGCTGTTCTCTGAGCCATAGGATCTTTTCCAGGAATGACCTAGACAGAAATATCCTTAAGAGACAGCTTCTCAGCAGTTACAAAAAGGACCTTTCTTACTACAGAGGAGAAAAGGAGAACAGATTAAAGATTTAGATGATGTATAAGTGTTGAGATTAAATTATAGGTGTTGTTTTTGCTAGTTGGAAAAATCGGTTCCAACCTTTCTGAAATTTGTACAATAGGGAAATATGGTTTTTGGAAATTGATACATCTTACAGTAAAGTTCATTTTTATTTTAGAAGTATTTGACCTGAGTATTCCAAGGATCTTCTTTAAGAAAAAGAAACAGAAATTAAAAATAATAATTATAAAATGGCAATAAATACATATTTATCAAAATAACATGCTCATGTTCCCTTCCTTTTGCTTCTCTGCTTCTTAACAATCTGCCTTATTACCCTGGCCTGCTCCCCTCTGCTCTGGTGAGACATCTTCAGGTTTTCAACTAAGCCAGGGGATATAGTCTTCAGTCTTCCGTGGCAAGTACACTCTCTGGCCAGAAGGAAGCTGGCTTATATGAACAGAAGTCCTGCATCTGGTCTCTGATTGGTCTGTCCTCATGCAAAATCCTCACAGGTTGGTCCAAAAGGCACTGTCCTGATTGGTTGGAATAGAGCTGCTCTGATTGGTCGGATCTGTGCAGCTCTGATTGGATGTGGAAAGTCTCAGTCCTATTGGCTGAAATATTCCAGGAACTCCTTTATTAGGGCTGCCTCAGCTGGTAGACACATAGTGCAGGAGTTTCTCTGTGAAATGCAATTTGTGTGAGAAGACCCTGTGTAGATATGGCTGCTAGACTCTGTTTTTTTTTTTTTTTATTTGTTTTGTTTTTGCTTGTTTATTTGTTAATCCTCACCCGATAATTTTTTTTTTTTTAAGAGGGATAGAGAGTGGAAGGGATGGGAAGAGAAAGAGATACATCACTGTGAGCCTGTCCAGCATGGCTCAGTGATTTGAGCGTCGACCTATGAACCAGGAGGTCATAGTTTGATTCCCGGTCAGGGCACATCCTGGGTTTGTGGAATTGACCCCCCAGTGTGGGGCATGCAGAAGGCAG